GTCCCGATCATGTGATGGTGGCGCGGTCATGTTGTGATGGTGTCCCGATCATGTTTTGATTGTGTCCCAGTCATGTTGTGATGGTGTCCCGGTCGTGTTTTGATGGTGTCCCGGTCATGTTTTGGTCGCGGTCATGTTGTGATGGTGTCCCGGTCATGTTTTGATGGTGTCCCGGTCATGTGATGGTGTCCCGGTCATGTTGTGATGGTGTCCCGATCATGTTTTGATCGTGTCCCGGTCGTGTTGTGACGGTGTCCCGGTCATGTTTTGATGGTGTCCCGATCATGTGATGGTGGCGCGGTCATGTTTTGATGGTGTCCCGATCATGCTTTGATTGTGTCCTAATCATGTTGTGATGGTGTCCCGGTCCTGTTTTGATGGTGTCCCGGTCATGTTTTGATGGTGTCCCAGGCATGTTGTGATGGTGTCCCGGTCATGTTTTGTTGGTGTCCCGGTCGTGTTGTGACGGTGTCCTGGTCATGTTTTGATGGTGTCCCGGTCCTGTTGTGATGGTGTCCTGGTCATGTTTTGGCGGTGTGCCGGTTATGTTTTGATGGTGTCCGGGTCATGTGACGGTGTCCCGGTCATGTTGTGATGGTGTCCTGGTCATCTTGTGATGGTGTCCCGGTCATTTTTTGATGGTGTCCCGGTCATGTTTTGATGGTGTCCCGGTCATGTTTTGATGGTGTCCCGATCATGTTTTGATTGTGACCCAGTCATGTTGTGATGGTGTCCCGGTCCTGTTTTGATGGTGTCCCGGTCATGTTTTGCTGGTGTCCCGGTCATGTTGTGATGGTGTCCCGGTCATGTTTTGATGGTGTCCCGGTCATGTGATGGTGCCCCGGTCATGTTGTGATGGTGTCCCGATCATGTTTTGATTGTGTCCCAGTCATGTTGTGACGGTGTCTCGGTCATGTTTTGATGGTGCCCTGGTCATTTTGTGATGGTGTCCCGGTTATGTGATGATGGTGTCCAAGGAAGAGATGGTCGATGTGTTGAAAACAGCAGCTGTTTCCAGATTTTTCTTTTTGTCCCGGTTTGTATCTTGCTATTGGGGTCTTTAGCTGGGCTAATTTCATTTCTGTCATGCAAAATTGACACATCCATGACAGAAATCAATCAAACAGTATCCATTCGAAGGACTTTTTGGCTTGATTTCTGTAATGAATGTTTTCTCAAAAACGAATCATATTGTTATAGTTCTTTTCTTTTGGCACTATAACATTCTTCATGGCTGGTGCTTTTGTGTTGGGAGTTATGGTACAGTTTTTGGGGAACTATAACATTTTTTTTTGGATGTTTTAGGCTTTCGTGCTGGTGAGTTGTAGTTCCTTTTTGGAACTACAACTTTTTCATGGCTCGGGCTTTCGTGCTGGGGAGTTCTAGTTCTAGTTGTTTTCTAACACTATATTTTTTTGGATGGCTTGGAGTTTCGTGCTGGTCGGTTGTTGTTTTTTTGGAACGATGCAGGGCCAAGAGTCTTGAGAGAAGCACTGGCTAGACTGGGAACTTAGAGCAGAAGACAAAGGACCATGTTGACTTTGGTGTGTGTGTCTGTCTGTCTAGAACCCGAATGTGTGGATTCACCTCTTGGTGTGATTTGTGTAGTTTGCGGCGTTGGGGTTTTCATCGCAGGCTTCTTTGATATCTTTTTTTCAACTTAACTTTCCTTATAAACCCGATATAACTTGTGAAACCGTACATGCTTTTGGACTTTTCGACTCTTGTAGTTTTCTGATTTTGATCATTTTCGACCCGGGAAGTAGAGGCCGTCCTACTTTTTGACTTTTCGACTTTTCAGATTTTTCGCATTTTTGACTTTTTCGATTGCGCTGGAGAAACGAAATCCACTTTTTGACTTTTCGACTTTTCGGATTCCAAACGGACATTTTCATTCCCCAATAGCCATGCTATGGGGTCTTGCAAAACTAATAGGCGGACGGGCGCCGTCGGGTCACCGTCAGAGCTGGTGGGCGGATGGTGTCCCGGTCATGTTTTGATGGCGTCCGGGTCATGTGATGCTGGTGTCCCGGTGTCCCCATCGTGTTTTGATTGTGACCCAATCATGTTGTGATGGTGTCCCGGTCATGTTGTGATGGTGTGCCGGTCATGTTTTGAAGGTGTCCCGGTCATGTTGTGATGGTGTCCCGGTCATGTTGTGATGGTGTCCCGGGCATGTTTTGATGGTGTCCCGGTCGTGTTGTGACGGTGACCCGGTCATGTTTTGAGGGTGACCCGGTCATGTTTTGATGGTGTCCCGATCATGTGATGACGGTGTCCCGGTCATGTTTTGATGGTGTCCCGGTCCTGTTGTGATGGTGTCCTGGTCATGTTTTGGCGGTGTGCCGGTTATGTTTTGATGGTGTCCCGGTCGTGTTGTGACGGTGTCCCGGTCATATTGTGATGGTGTCCTGGTCATCTTGTGATGGTTTTCCCGTCATGTCATGTTGGTGTCCCGGTCACCTTGTGATTGTGTCCCGGTCATGTTGTGATTGTGTCCCAGTCACGTTGTGACGGTGTCCCAGTCATGTTGTGATGGTGTCTCGCTCATGTTGTGACGGTGTCCCGGTCATGTTTTGATGGTGTCCCGGTCATGTTGTGATGGTGTCCGGGTCATGTGACGGTGTCCCGGTCATGTTGTGATAGTGTCCCGGTCATGTTGTGATGGTGTCTCCGTCATGTCATGCTGGTGTCCCGGTCACCTTGTGATGGTGTCCCGGTTATGCTGTGATGGTGTCCCAATCATGTTGTGACGGTGTCTCGGTCATGTTTTGATGGTGCCCTGGTCTTTTTGTGATGGTGTCCCGGTTATGTGATGATGGTGTCCAAGGAAGAGATGGTCGATGTGTTGAAAACAGCAGCTGTTTCCAGATTTTTCTTTTTGTCCCGGTTTGTATCTTGCTATTGGGGTCTTTAGCTGGGCTAATTTTCGGGTCAGAGAATTAATTTTAAACGCTGAATCGAGTGTTGAACATGGTTTAAGATAAACACATCAAGATGGTTTAAGTAGCTATGTAACCAAAGAACCCTGTTGCAGGTCCTTTCAAGATGGACCATTACCGTTACTAAACCAGCGAGGTGTGCTTGCCGGCCACGGCCAACATTTGTCTTTCTCGATCCGTTTTGCGTGTCCACCTTGGCGACGTGTCTGATGCATGGATCCCGAGGGTTGGCGACCAGCGGAAAAGAATGAGTTCAGATCGCCAGGTGGAGCCGAATGTCCTCTTTAGCTGGAACCTAATGTTCAATCCCTTAGGTCTGAATGTTCTCTTTTGGATCAAGGGACACCCAGATCTGACTTATTTGGACTCAAAATGCCCTCTTGACCTTGAAGATTGACAACCGTGGACATCTCGATTTCCTTGTAAAAAACTTAGGAAACCAGATGAAACCATTTTTGTTGCATGTGTTCTTGCCATGATTCCTTCCTATGACAGATGACATATATATACAGGATATATCCGATATTCCTCTTTCCTAAATTTCAAGACGTAACACGAAAAAGGGATCCAATTGCTCGGTGACTCCCAAGCAGGGATCCCAAACCCCAGCACGGCGACACCGGTCTCCACGCTCAATGCGGAATGCGCTCCGAGGGACTTGTTCGTTCCGAAGCGCACGGCTTGGACCCGAAGCGCACGAAGGCACGAAGGCAACAGATTCTGCTTCAGATCGTACCCGAACGAACAGACTTCACCGATAGGTAATTTGAGAAGAGAACAGATAGCTAAAGGCATGGGAAGACTGTTGTGATTGATGCATCGATATGTCGGTTAGGTCTTTCTGCGGTGTGAATTGCCGGTTGACATTCCTTTTGCCATGCATTTGGGTGAGATTTGGTCAGACCCTAGCAGCTATAGCCCTAGCACTTTCCTGCTTTTGTGATGTTTGTGGCCCAAGCCATTGCGGCTTGAATTTCACCAGAGAAGGTGTGTTAAGAGTCGCAGATGTTTTTAATGCGACAGGTGGCACCAGTTGTGTTCGTCATAAGCTGGCAGCTTTGGCACCTGGCCGCGGGTGCGTCCTGGCAAGAGCACCTCTTGGAAGGGGTGACAATTGCAGCTCGCAAACGCTCTGCCTCGGCTACCCCAGCACTCTTGGAACGCTTGAGCCGTGCCGATACCCGCGCCTTCCTCGCAGCTTGCTGTCCGCAGGTGAGCTCATGACCACCATTTCCAAGTTAAACAACATCTAAATGGCTTGGATGCTTTGCATATATGTAGGTTCTTTTGATCTTGATTTTTTGAGCTCCCTACCAAATAGTGATGCGCTCTTTTGATGTTACCTTCTTCAGGTGGCCAATTGGTCTGCCCAGGAGCTTGCTGAGGAGTTGCGGCGCAGAGTTCTTGCCGCGGAGGTGGTCAGCGGCTTCAAGACTGATGAGGTTCCGTTCTTGAAATGGTCTCATTATGAGAACTGGTGGGAGCGATGGTTCAAGAATCCTCATCGCTCCAATGAGAAGTTCGACAGGAAGCGCTGGATGGACAGGGTGGAGACCACTTTCTACGGATTCAAACCATTTCAGCATCCTTATCCAAATGAAGCGGATGCCAATGCAAGGAGTCAATATTTCCTATTGAATTCTCTGCGCCTTGACGAGGGTCCCTTGGCGATTGAGAGATTCGATGCCCGGTCCCGGGAAACAAACGAGGATCATCAGCAGGAGTAGGACAAGAGCCGATGGCATGCAGGGACTGAACCTGTAGATTGGTCGGGGACTTCCAAAGCGATGTGCTTCCACAGCTAACATGCTGCCGCGGCTTCCACACACTCTTCAGGTGAGAACTCAATCGCATCGCATCCCCTTTCCTTTTTTTGTTGAAGACTGTTAATTGCCGCGCAGAGCGAAGGAAAAGGCAGGGCATCGCCGAGGTTTTTTCGCACAAACCGAACAATATTATCGTTCGACTGAGGTTCACCCCTCTATGGAGACCTGAGCTTGGTCTTGTTGCCGAGCTTTGCGCATCGTGCGTCCGTGATCTCACCCTTTGATACTGGCAGTCATTGCGGGTTCTGCGAGCACTGCTTTGACATGCCCAACAGCTTTCATCACAATTGCAGCTCATCTCCTGGCCATGCCGGATTGGGCACTTTTGAGGCCTTTGATCACCTTTTTGGCATCAATGAAGCTTTTTGGGCGACGTCCGAAGCCTTTCTGCAACCCTTGGGACGCCTGTTTGGAAGCGTCACCCTGACAGGGGCTGACCTGTTGCGCTACTTCGAAGTGATGCCCACAGCGCAGGTCCAGTTCCCCAAACATGTGAAGTTGGTCATTGCAAGCATTCCCAGTCTCTTCGGCACTTTGAAGGGTGAACAAGTCCGATTGTGGTGCGAAAGACATGGCTGGCCCTTGGTTTGGTCTTTGGGACTGAATTTAGATTATCCAGCCGATCAAGGCAAGTCACATTTCTGGGATATACTGCATGAAGAAGGCCCCTTCCAGAGCAACCACAGGTTGCTGGATCCAAAGCTCCTAGAAAGTAGTGGCCTGATGACACCTGGGTACCACAGATCTGGAATTGAGTCCGAAGTCTTTGAAGATACTTGGCGTACGATCAAATCCATACGGCTTGACGCCCGGCTTCCACCAATACCTGAAGACTTCCAACATCTTTGGAAGGTCTTGGTGCAAAGATTACCAGATCTGCAGATCGAACCTGCTGGAACGTTTTGTCCTGATTTGGATCACTGCGTGGGGGTGACAAAGCATGGATGTGTCTGCAAAGTGGAGGCAAGCATGTACAGTGCATCATTTGCTGTCTCTCGCTACTTGTATTTGGCCAGCTTCCTTTGCCTAGCAGGTCTGTGGTTGTAATAGCGTTGTTCTTGGCTGGATTTGCTGGTTTGCTTTCTGGTATTTTTGATATCCTCAATCTCCAGGCTGGTCCTTTCGTCAAATCAAGGCCCTTTCGTCAGCAAACTCACGCCAGAACGCTTGACCTGCGAGTTTCGTTTAGCCGCCGTAAGTGCGCTTCAACACTGTAAAGTTAAGTTTTGATCTGTGGCCACATGGTCCAATGCGTCGGTGAACATGTTCCACTCTCCGCTGCGCCCGAACTTCAAAAGATTGGCCCGGTGAACACATCCGGTGCAACTGCCAGGTTTTTTTTCCACATGTCGCGTGCTTTCGACAGGGACATGGCTTCAGGATCGGGAGGCGTTGAGGTTTTCGACATCTGAGAAAAGCGAAAGTGCCCCAAGACAGTAGGAGGAGTCTGGGAGACCAAGTCTAGCACCCGCAGGCGGCTCAGCCCTGACGAGCCGCGGCCGCCGATGTGCTTCCTCGCGTCAGGCCGATGCTTCGGCCAAGTTCCTGTTTTTTTCCAGAACGGCAGGCCCTGGAAGTGCACTTTTTCACCTTTTTTGAATGATCTGGATCTGCATTTTTTAGTAAGTTTCAAGGATCTAACTGAGATTAATTCACAGCACCAGTACTGCCAAGGACATCTCAACTGCCGTACTCTGAAAAAATGGACAGGACTTTAAAAACCAAAAAAACACACAAAAGAACCCCAAAAAACAATCCTAGAAGACTCTTTGGTGAGTAAACCAAACAAACAAAGAAACAAACAAAAACAAACAAAACAATCCTGACAGAGTCTTTGGACACCCCCCCCAGCCCAAGACCTCACAGCAATTGTTTTTTTTTTGGGTCTTTTTGGTTTACTCACCAAAGAGTATTCTAGGATTGTTTTATTTTTTTTTGATTTTTGAGCACCCACCCCAAGACAAGACTTCTGAAGAGTTGGCTATGTTTGTTTCTTTTATTTTGTGTTTTGGCATCTCTAACTTTTTCATCACATTGATCAATATTTTCTTACAAATAGAGCACCTTGCAGCAGCAGCATTTCCCGATTTCTAATTCTTCTTCTTCACTAATAACCATTGGTTTATTAAGATTCATTTTTTCAATGATATCAGATTTGATATTACCCAATTGTTCTATAAACTTATCCATACAATCCTCACCCCTATACAGATAAGGTGTGGATGTTTTATCAATTCTATTCACCACATTCAACATATAACCGCAAGGTTTATGCTCTTGATATGTGCCCTTAATCCCATCAGAAGAAGTCACAGTCAGACATTCAACATCTCCGTAAATAACAAAAGGACATTCTAATTTGGTATTATACTTTTCAAATTTAATAAAATAACCTTCAGGGGGTAGTTTGAATTGTCGCCCGCAATTGCTAAACTAAACAACCCCTTGTATAATGTTCTTCCAAGCCCTCTTTTTTGCAACAGGGATGAGAACATTGCCTGCAGATATGTGTTTTATTGTTATCTTTATTCAATTGACAATTTAATAACCTACTCAAACTTCTTATTAAAGCATAATGGCATCTATCTTTATCAGCAAAAACTCTCAATAAATCAATATGATATTTAGCATTTAAAACTTTGGTTGCTCTTGTTTTGATTTTTTTCTTCATTAAACATATAACTTGTGTCAAAACCATTTACTGAATTTTAACCATGATTATTAACTTCAAGCCCAATTGATGATGTCATCCTTCAATTTGTTATAATGAAACATTTCTTCTGGGTGATGTTTATTAATCTTATCAAAAACTACTGATTGAATACAATACTTTAAACATTTGTTATAACTATTCCTTTTTTAAATATGGATACACGCCTTTTGACTTAACAAACGTAGGTAGCCCTATATATTTGGCTGCCCTAGTTGGATTATATCTATCATAATGGATGGTAATAGAAACTACCTTTTAAATTTTAGATTTGACCTTGAAGCCTCAATCTGTTCTTTTTGAAGTAGTATTTCTTTTACATTGTCTTCTAAAGCTTTATTCAAGTCATCTTCATTATGAATGTTGAATCTTGTGGATGGTAAATTATGAAGAATCTCAGACTCACCTATATCACCATCAAAATCTTCACCATCATTAACATTAGGCTTACTAAATAATGCTTCCGATCTTATGTTGAGTTTCATATCATGTTTCTTTAAAGCAATTCTACAAGTAATGGTTTTTGATGTTGTATCATTGATAAGCCTTGTTCTCCTTTAAAGTGCTTGTTTATGAGCTTAAGATTATTGGCATATCTTTTAAACGCTGATTTACCTTTTTCTACTCTGAACTTATTTTTGATAGCATATTTGGTTAGGGCTTTCTTCATGCCTACAGCCAATGAAATTACTTTATGGTCGTAACTTCTATATTCATTAGTTTTCTTCACTGATTTCATTTTTTTCAATCTTTTTGAGATATCTTTGTTTTTGTTATATCTGAATTTTTGATTGTCAATAACTATTTAATTTAGTTCTTTGTTACCTTTTGGTATTTCTGCTTTATCAGTTTAAAGCACTTAATCTATATATTTTCATAATGTAATACTATATATTTTATACATTGACTACTCTTTAAGTGTATATTCAATGAATTTATACTTAAAGATATATTATACTTAAAGACATATCACTTTGTAATGTTAGGTGATTTTAGGAATTCTTGGGATACCTATTCAAAGAAATATTGATATTAATATTCAATGAGTATACTTGGGGAAATACTTGTGTCAAGCCAAAACTAGCAGATGAAGGCAGACATGTCAGATAACTTAGTAGAGCTCAAAAATTGGTGAACAAGTGCACTTCCACAGCCTGCCGGACTCTTATTTTGGGGGGGGGCGCCGAAGGGGCGCCGTTTTGGCGTGTTTTTGGTGCCAAAAAGACATTGAAGAATTCTTGAATTGAATGGTTTGAACCACATGTCAAACGTATGGTCCGATGTTGAATGTACAGTTCGTTCACCCGAGGTGAACCCAGATGTGTATGTCATTCGCTCATGCCTCGAACTCGACTCTTGACACCTCAGTGTTGATTTACAAAAATCCATCGGATGTCAAAACCTCTTCATATTGGGGCGTTGGATTGATCAAGAGTCCACATTACGGTCTTTTGGTTGTGCTCTCGTTGGACGGTGAAGAGCTTGCTTGGGTTTGCTTCCCAGCACCATCGTGCCGGTTTGCTTCGCTCTTCGGCTCTTTTGCTGGGAACTCAACGGTTTTGTTTCATAGCCTCCACCCTACTAGCGATGGCCTCCAACCTACAGTTTGTGGTGTTTTGCTTTGCCAGTTATGCCTCTGTCTCCTTCGCCACATTTTCTACCGGGTTTTCGCCTCTCGGTATTCTTTCCCATATTGGCCATATTGGTCTACATTTTTGCAAGCGGTGTGCACAAGCTGCGAAATTCAATCCACCAGCCAGTCAATCGCTCTGTATATAGACAAATTGAACTCATGTTGCAGGTGTATCGCAATACGTGTATTAATATTTTGTATTTCTGTTGACACACCATGGAATACTTGCAACATGATGTATCATTTGGCAGCACGCTTGAAAGATACTCAGCTACTACAGTGTTGTGGCTTGTGTGATAATAGCAATGGTCTCCAACCTAGAAGCGATGGCCTCCAACCTATTTGGTGCAGGATTCCAGATGGGAAACATACGAAGGCACGATGCAGATGATTGCTCTTCAGGGTGGATTTGCTGGACGCACTGGATGGCCCTCTCCGCCGAAAAAAGACATGTATTTCTCAAGTCTGAACAGATGAGATCCGCCCAGTGGCAGAATTCTAGCCCTCATGAAAGAGCATGCTTGGTGAATGAGTGAATATGTGCCAAGACGACTTCACAGTCTGACGAGCAAGATGAAGGACTGAGATTTTACATCAGACCACTTTAAAGCCTTTTGCCGTGGCAATTACGTGCGTTTCTGCTTTCTTTTCGCTGGTTTTGTGGCTTTAGGTGCCGATTTGAAGGCAGATGCCATGGGCTGCCATGGGTGCATGGTGCGGGCTTAGAGGTATACACTATGTATTGAATGTGTAGACTGCATATGTTGGAGGCATCGAAGGTTCTTTCAAGATGTTTGTTGTTAGGACGGTGTTCGCACAATTTTGGACCCTTGCTTGTTTGCTTCAATGCATACCGCACTGCACCAAAGAATCATGGCAGCCGCGCACGAGGATGAGGCGGACCTGTTTGTATTGGATCGCTGCATCGAACCGTTGCTATTACTTTGAGCATTTGCGAATGAGCTTGTGCGTCAATCTACCCGAGTGGCTTGCTCGTAAAGATCTAGACTGCTGGTTTTATGCAGCAACTTTCGACTCATTGTGGTCTTCTTGTATTGAGTTTAGATGTCTTTGAAGAACGTATCGCATGCCCTCAATAGTCAGGCGCACATGTCCTCCAATGATCGCATGGTGAATCAGTGCTGCTGCCATGTTTCAAGAGCGTCCGATCCATGTGTCCCTGCAAAGCATCGCTTCTACATTTCACTGAGACATATTCCAAGAGTTTTTATATGTCGTTTGTTGCTTGACGCATGACTTACTGCCCTGAATCGAGCTGTGGCAAGGACTTTCCGCACGTCGCGCTATATGTTGTTTGTTGACGGATGATTGAAAACTATCTAGAGCTATTAGGTGTTCTTTAGATCCATAGAATAGTGATTGTTTTTTGCTTGTTTTTTTACTAGTAGCAGGGTAATGCAACCAAACCTCTCTGGGACCCTCTCACTCAACTCTGCCCTGGCCCTCCGCCTTGACTGTGGCTTGGACTGCCAAATAGCGAGAATGTGCGCTCCATTCTTTTTGCATTGCAGTCACCTTTGGCATTTTCTCTGTCACATGTGTAGCACACACCAAAGTGAAGCAAGGAGATACAATGCGATGGCCTCCAACCTAATAGCGAATGAGCTTACCAGGGCCGTTCACTCATGACTTCGATGCTGAGAAATCATGGTACTCTTGCTTTAACCCGCTCTGTTGGTCCAAAAACGGTCTAGACACCGTTCCTTGATCCAGACCCGTGGAGCGTCTCCCCACCGTCCCTCACATGCGCCCGAGCGCCAACTCCGGCCAAAGATGCGGCCGAGCCTCTGCGCCTCTGCAACATTAACGACGTAGCGTTCTTGTTCCTAGCGATGCCAGGAGCCCCGTTCGTAGCGTCCTTGCTCCTAGTAACAAACGGGCCTCTGCAAAACAGCAGTGGTGGTGATCACAGAATTGGTCCACCTCTACCACACTTCGTCGATTCTAGGGAGTGGTGGACATGATTTCGGTTGCAGAATGGGTCGTAGGGATTTGTGTTTTTCTTGCCGCATGGGTGATCCACTTATCCTGGGCATTTTTCCCACGCCGTATTTGATGGTTCCGATGCTTTGGGGCCTTCGCTGGTAGCACGTGGTTTTTCGCACCTGAAGCCCACGAGAGCCGTTCCTTCGGGTGTTCTGCTTGGTGCCCAGCTCCAACGACGCCTTGGCTGCTTTGTGCCGTGAGAGTCCCTGAAGGGTGTTGAATTCTGAGCAAACGCCAAACGGCCAATGTCGAATCTAGTAAAGAGCGGTCGTGAGTGTCAGGAAATTGATTAAAACCTGCAAAAGCGATAGGCCCCCCCCTCAAAATTGCGACAACCTTGCTGAATCATGTCCTCTACTTCTTTTAGTACGTTTTGGTAGCACGTTTTGCCTCAAGAAACGCGTTGTGGTTTCTTCCCTGCCAATGTCATCACCGAACGCCACACAGCGACACAGCGGCGGTGGCGTTCGCCGCTGCGGTTGCCAGGCTGAGGCGCTCTGGTACACTCCGATCCGCTGCCTGAGGGGGAACTCAGAATGTGTCAGGATTGACAGAAACAAGGAGCCAGAAGACTTGCTGCACAAGAACCATGATCACAAATACCATAGCTCAAACTTCGACACAATTTGCATGTAACTTAAAACCAAACCAAGTTCTATGCCTCTTCAGTCTGGCCCACCGAACTGATCTTAGTCAGCCTCAGTGCACCGAACCACTTTTCCCAGGCATTGAAGCATTTCGTGTAGTGGACCGGGCAGACTTCTGGATTCGAGGCACTTCAGGAGAAACGAGTAGCAATCCGACTAACAATGGACACCGTCGTCGAACCATGGACGATGCGTCGATGAGTCGAACCTGGTCGAACGTGGTGCTACAGCCTGCGACATCAAAGCGATGCTACAGCGACATGTATCTCTGAGATTCCAAGATTGAAGAAGAACCAGTTCATTTGGCAACTCCTGTTGCTTGATGTGAGTGGTCTTGTGACTGCAGCAAAACATAACGCAAAGGTATTCTCAAGGTGGCAAGGCAAGAAAGAAAGCATTCAGCAGAAGCTTCTTGGAACTGTGGGAATTCTCCAATCGTCCTGGTCCTAGTGGAGTAACATCAACCTGCCAACTTTGGGGAGCTCTCCTTGTTGAGCACTCCATCAAGTTGGGACCGCGTTGTGGTTATATAACCTCTGCCATTTTAAAAACAACTTGTTTCTTCAGGCAGTCGAGCTGATCTCAGCAGCGAAGTTTATCAGGCTGGAAGATGATATGATTAATCAGCGCCATCGTCCTTGCTGTCGTTGGATTTCTGAAAGAACCAAGCATGATTCGCTAGGACGTTGTGGGTGAAACTATATAGAACCTCTCATTTGCAACATGCTTTGCAGATTCATGCATTTGTGAGTTCCACTCAAAATAAGTCATTTGCACATCCTGCAGCTGCTCTTCGGAAGCCCAATGCCCAAGCTCTTGGTTTTTGACACAGCAAACTCCTTTTGACCTGTTCTTTTCAAGGATGCTCCTTTGCGATACGGCAAGCTGCACCAGTCGGGGCCCGACTTGAAGAGTCCGCTGCTCGCTTGGACGGCTCGCCGTCGTCCTACAGACCGACGTGACCGTGACTTGCCGCGGACCAGACCGACAAGTCGATACCCAGGTCGGCACCGCATATTTACGCACGCGCATTGGAGGTGGGAAGAGTCAGAGTTAGGACACGGCCATGTTGACAGACAGTGGACAGGTGTAGACTGACTGAGTTAGACCAGGTGGGGTGCAGCACTTAATATAAGACGCCAGCTTTGTGGATGTATCAGGCTTTGATGCCACTGAAGACGGGAATGTCGTGCGGGGGCCTGGATCAAGTTAATTCGGAAGGTGTCAAACCTGTGGAGTCTTGAGACCCAAGACCACGAAAGACCAAGCGAGCCCTTTTTGATCGCTTTTGCCGTCTCCCCGCACCTTCAACGCGGCGTGCTTGGCCCGCGTTGGCCATTCTTCATCTTGTCAGCGGAAGGTCTCCATAAATTACCATTCTTTTTATTCCCCAATGAAACCAGGGGAGCCCTTCGGAGCAGCGGGAGTTCCCCAGTTCCTCCAGGTTTCTGAACATCGGTTCGGGCACCGGATACTTCAGCTCCTTAGTCGCTGAGATCTTGGGAGAGTCTGCAGCTGAGGTGGGGAGAGTGGGGTGGCCATTGAACATAGCAAGATGATTGAACATGGCTAGACCAGCAAGTAGAGGTTCTGACACTCGTTCCAGCTTTTTCCACTTTGAAGATGTTTGGTCTGACTATCCTCAGAACAGCTTTTCCGTCACTCCGAGCTGGACCGAACGCCGGGCCAAGGGGCGTCAACGATGGCCTTGAGCTTTGGCCCGAGAATGTGGCTCATGCACAGGTGGGGCTCGATGAACAAAACATTGACTCTCTGGCAAGTTGGTTTGATTGCAACTATCCGATTGTAGGATTGTCCTTCAAGAGACTGGTGATCATTTTCCCTAAAAATCTAGGAACTGAATGATTAGTGTGAGCGTGAGCTATCCTGCATCCTAGCTAGGAGCTTCCTATTCCTGGTCGTCCTATTTTCCTTAATTAAGTAGGTGCCTACTTAATTCAGTAAGGAGGCAGGGCCACGGGCAAAAAAACAGGAATTCTAGCATTCTGTGACTTTCAACAGTGAAACCACTTTGAGAGAGCCTTCACAAACACCCTCTCAACCCTTTGCGAGGAGCGTTGTCGTCAACTGGGCAAGCATCACATCACCTTCAACGAGGGAAACGTGTACCAGCTGGGCCTCAGAGAAGTGAACCTTTTGGGGGTAGGCCGAGAAGAGATAGGAAGAAGGTAAGTAGCCAGTACAAGCTAGGTCGTAGCTAGTACCTTACTTAGACGCTACGCACGCATAGCTCACGCTTCCTTGAAGAAGCACTCGCACTATTTATTTGGTTCCTAGACTTTTAGGACAACTTAAGTTCACCAGCTTCTTTGACAGCATGGGTTTGACCGGCCCAAATGGGCCAGGTAATTAGCGAGAAGTCTTCGGAAGGTATGCCAATTTGGTCCGAAGTTAGCAACATTCTCGTGCTCGCTTGGGTCACCGAAGGGTACCAACAGCGGATGGATAACTGACCCCTCTGAATCCCATTGGAAGCTTCGCCCAGGCTGGATGTAAACCTTGGGATGCGCTACAGCCGGATCTACGCATTTGGCTTAGATTCTTTGAGCTTTAAATCATGCCAAGGTCATTTGAGCTTGGTCATTGGAAGCATTTTGAATAATTTTGAGCTGTTTGGCAATGGAAAAGGACCCTTTCCTTTTTCCACCAAAGTGTAGGTCATACAGTTGACTCTCGAAGTTCAGCAGATTCTGACAAGTGAGATGTTTGAAATGCCTCGCTCCTTGCTTGGTTGGTGTGTTTATAGGTGCCGTATCCACAGGTATGTTTCCTCAGGTAGGCAGGAATGTGTTCAAGGAAAACTGTCGCCTCATATATAACTATAGAAGCTATTAGAAACAATAAGCTACTAGTATCAAGTGCATCGCTACTAGTAACAAGTGCCTTACTAGTAGTAACAAGAAGCTATTAAAAAGGATGTTCTTACGAGGTAGTGCGCAGGCTTCGCAGAAGCTACCGCAGCCCCCTCCGGCTCTAAGCTCCGGGGGTGGGCAGAGCGAATGAAGCAGGTGAGCAGACCGAATGCGCTACACAGCCAGGACTTTTGTGCTTGTTCTCAAAGGAGTCTTCAGTGTTCGTTGCAATGCCTCAATGAGACTCGACACTTCTCAAGATGTTTTTGTTTTTTCCCTTGGTGTTGGCTATCATGTGGAGCGTGACCATCCTCGTTTGATCACCAGCGGAATGCCTTGTGAAAGGCCAGAGGTCATAGACGGTGACAGACATTCAGCATGTCTCCAGGTGCTGCAGGTGCGCCTCTTGGTACTGCTGAGCAGCCTGGCGAAGGTGCTATATACTAAAATTGACATGCCTGATTCCACAGACATGAAGTCCACATGAAGTTCATGAAGTTTCGCTGATCTGACATTTGTGAACACCCACATTTTTTTTTTTGTTTTGTGAAAGAGCGCACAAGCAAACGGTAGATATGATGGACATGGGTTCTTTTCGCCTTCCGTTTGTTGATATTCTTATCATTGCAGCTGGCTCCGGGATTTCACACTGCAGGCCGCCAAGCTGCACCAGGAGGCCTCTCTGTAGTGTCCTTCTTGGGCGAAACATGTGCGGGTGATCCACATTTGTGAATTTCACAAGAAATCTTGCAAGGCCCAGCTTGTTTCTCTAAACTCTAAACATGTCTCTCTTTGTTGAACTGGAACAGTTTGAGCAATCGAGCTGGAGATAGATCTGGTGTATTTTCTGTTTCAGCAGGCAGTCAGCTGAGTCCTGGCTGAATTAGTCTGCAGCTGCCGGAAACGGTGGAGACAAAAAAACACTTGACTCACGGGAAGTGGAGGAGCTCTACCAGGTTGAAGGCCCTATTAGGCTGGAGGCCAGTGCTACTAGGTTGGAGGCCATTCCTATTATTCGATTGGAGGCCATTGCTTCTAGGTTGGAGGCCATTGCTATTACATCCTATTCCTATTGTCTTTAAGAGAGAGGATAGCCGGATAGCCTCGAACGAGTCAAGGGTTGTTGGAGGCCATCGCTATCGAATTGTTGCAAAGGTGACTCTTTCCAATGCAACTTAGAGCAGGGCTGGGCACCACGGTCAGACACCCAGCGTGCGTGTTTGGCTTTTGCTGCTGAAACTGTTTACGCAATGTCTTTTCGGGAAGATCGTGTTGTCCTGCAAATGAACTCAACAGTTTTGTTTGCCCACATGCTTTTTTCTGTACTCTCTCTACCTGTATATAGCTATGACAATGTTGCTTTTTTTAAGGGTCTTCCGAGACATCTATTTCTTGACCATGACCCATGACCATGTAAAGTATGTCCTGTTTGGAAATCCTCGTTTGCATCAATCTCTGCGGCCGGTGGTATGTTTCTTAGACGATGCGAAATCACCAAGGCCAAATCGTTCAACTTTGCCTGGGAACAGCATTGAGAAGTGCTGCCACTTCGCCTGCCTTCAGTCTGTGGCTTGCGGTTTGGCAGAGGGCCCCCATGTTTGAAGTTTGACTCCGTTCGACTGGAGCCATAACGCCGCCCTGCCGATGTAGCAAACTCTGTGGAAACAAGGAGCATGGTTGACCGTCCATATTATCAAATGATAGGCTTGCGCTCAGCAGAATTGTTTGTATGACAGAGTACCAGCTTGTACCACGGGTGTTTCCAAGCCAGAGTTCTGGAATTGTCAGTGAGCAAAGTTTCAGGTCGACCAACTTGCAAGCGATGGACCTGTAGTAAGGGCTACAAGGCCGGGAACGACACAGCAAACATTTTGAGACTGAGACACGGGAAGCACCCCATCCGGATGCTTGTAGCTGAACTGGATGTGACATTGGAGACATCCACATCTCCAACGGTCAGAAGAGTCATTTTCAAGCGTCGAACAACAAGTTAAGTCTCCCTAACCATCGAACCAAATGAATAGTGCGAGCGCTTCTTCAAGGAAGCTCCCCCAAAAGCCCTCAAGTCGGGGGAGCTTCCTTGAAGAAGCGCGAGCTATCCTGCGTCCTACCTAGTAGCTTACTAGAGTCCCTTACTTACATAATTGAGTAGACGCCTACTTACTGAAATTAAGTAGGCAGGGGGTGGAGCGGGCTAAAAAAAGAAGGTGTTAAAATGTACTGTATACTTACCGGTTCAAGTTTCCAGGGGCGAGCTGTTCAAAAAACAGACGCTGTGCTGTTCTGCGAAGGGGGCTGAAAGCCGTGGCCAGTGATGATCAGCGACGGTTGAGTTGCTGGTTTTTGCTTATAATTGCCAGGAGATATATATATATATATATTATATAATTACCAGGATACCGATACCCATGCATCAGTGGCTGGGTTCCTAGTGCTGCAGCCATTTTGGCTGAGACGGACGTCATTGAGACGGACGCGGGACGGGACGTGGTCATGGACGGGAGCCTCCGTGAGAGTTGCCAGCGCATTCGAGGAAGATTTCCGGATCATGTGCCAGTTCTTCTTTGCTCAGAATTGCTGATTTCGAGGATTCAAAAGAAGCTCTTGGTCCCCAGAGACATGAAGTTGGGAGAACTTCGAGGCAAGCTGCAGATCTCTTTAAACGCGATTCCCTGGGAGCAAGTCCAGTTCCAAGTTGCGGATCTGGTGGCACAAGAGGACCTGGGAGGCTTTCGACATTGAAGAGATAACCCGAAAAGCTCCTAGTAGCGTTCTTGCTTCTAGTATATAGTAAGGCCAGGAGCCCCTAGTAGCGTCGGCGTCCTTGTTCCTAGTAGGGATGCCCTTTGCTCCTAGTAGCGATGTCTAGGCTTATATAAACGAAACACTGGTCCATGTTTTCTATATTATATTTGCATCACGGTCCTTTCTGCATCCTTTTCTTCTCGGCGTGGTTTGCTGCTTGCCGCTGTCCGGTCCCTTTGGTTCTTCCAAAAAAGGTCTTCTTCTGGTCCCTTCCCATTTTTCTTCTTCTCCACAGCTTCTTTGTATTTGCTTCTTTGTTTTTGTGGCTTTTTGCCTGGTTTGTCCTGCTCTTGTTTTTGATTGTTTGCATCTAATGAAATGATTCAACCATGAGCTGTAGATGTACATCATTAGGTTGTGGTACATGTTGTGACTTTGCTGTGCACCAGTGCATTGAACCATCTTTGGATGCCTGAAGGACCATTGCATTGCCTCTATCTATGACCTTCATGGAGACAAGGTCGAAACATTGACGAAACATGTGTTGCACAGGGAACTTTCCAAACATTACCATGCCTTGTTCAGCCTGTATTCACAGACCAGGCTTATGGCATCCTTCGGTTGACTTTGACTACACCACTGCTGAACCAACTGGAGCCCATGCAGCCCATGCCTCCTCTGCCGCCGCCCCATGAGCTTACAACGCCTGCCGAGCTTCCTGCGCCTCCCATGCCGACCTTGGACACCACAGAAAAGCGCTCTCCGCACGTGTCCCCAGCGACCCCGCCGACCCCGCCGGAGCAGCGGGCGCTGGAGGAGCTTGCAGAGCCAGAGCCCAAGGAGCCCAAGGAGCCGGAGAAGAAGCGACGCAAGCGAGATGGCACAGGAGAAGCTGGAGATGGGTGGTTCTTGTTGACCAACTTTGGAAGCATCGCGATTGATATGACGCGGATGGCTGCCTTCAGTATGGCTGGTGGTGTCTTGAGCGGTCCAGCTGCAGCGAAGCTCGGCTTTACTCTTGCTTGCGCCAAAGCTTTGTGGCAAGCTGAGTCTTAGCACGTCTTAGCGGAAGGGTCGAGGCTGGGTACCATCAAAGCGGAAAAGCCTTGGAACGGAGTTGTAGCTCACGACAACTGCCAAACGAGTGAAACACGGAACAGTCCTCACTCTGCTTCGAGGGAGCCCCCTCATCCTGTACATAGAGCTGACAAGAGGAAGGTGCCAGGCTCATTGGCTTCAGTGCAGCGCCAAAGCGTGGTAGGGCACTTTCTCTTGTTGGATTTTGTGCGAGTCCTTTGTTGGGTTCGCAAAACTCTGGATGGGGTGAAGTGTGCACCCCATCTCCACATGCTTCTCATCCAATGAGCGAATGCACAATTCGGGTCTGAAAAGAACAGCTGCTGATTGTGACCGTGTGAGTTGTGGCGCTAAGTGGTTGAGCGTTTGCCAAGAAGCACTGCCAAGATGCTGTAAGCCAGTACAATAAAAAGTCATAAAAATAGCAGCTGTGGCAGACACACACATATGATACACAGACGTAGCACTTGCAGCTGCATTGTGGCTCACAAACATGCACACTTTGCTCAAGGCGCATCCGGACTACTACAACAACGTGGCCTCCTCCAACTCTGCATGCTGTGACCGTCTTTGTTCGTGGCGTGGCATAACCATTTGGGCAGAAGATCAGGTTTGGGTCAAATGACTTCAAATGAGGCATGTGTAAAACCCGATGGAACATGAGATTTGAGTCTTTTGACTGACAGCAGAATGATTCACATAGTGACATAATAGTGGTTGTAGAGCAGTCAGATCATATCCTTCGTAATTTGCGGACGACGGGTGTACATATTGGTCGACTGGTGTTAGCGTGGTTACGGGCAGCCGTGAGACGGGCAAGACGACTGATCATTGGACCCAATTTGGGAGAGCAGGAGAGCAAATACCATGGTAGCGTTCTTGCTCCCAGTAGCGATGCCAGGAGCCCCTAGTGGCCTTGCTCCTAGTAGTAAGGCCAGGAGCCCCTAGTAGCGTCCTTGCAAATACCATGTTCACTGTGGTCACTGTGGTCACTTGAAGTCACTTGGTTTGAGTTTTGAGCCTCTTTGAGTTTCGGGGTGCCAAAATGCCAAGGACTGTGCCCTGCAATGCAAGCTTTGGAGTTCCGACGCGGATGAGGAATGTGCCTGGCAAGACCCATGAGGCTTGTGGACATTTTGGACAGAAAGTAACACTGGCAGTTCTTCATGCAGAATCCATGGACAGCTGGACAGCTGCTGGACGTTTTACTCAAACATTGGACACGAAAAACCCAGTGACCCAGCTAGACTTGCAAGGAGTGTTGCAAACCGCTGTGCTCACAGCACCTTTGCTTCGGCAGTTGGGCACCGGACCCACGGAAGGCCCACCAGGCCAGTGGCGATGCCGTAGCGTCCGAACGCTCCTAGTAGTAAGGCCAGGAGCCCCGTTCGTAGCGTCCTAAAAGTCTTTTCCGAATGTACAGGAACAAGAAGTAGCCTGCCTGTCTTGATTTTGGTATTTCTTTTTTTCCTGGAGTACAGCCACTTCAGTTTTCTTGCGGACTATCTAGCACTCTTGTCGGTTTGCTTATTCGGTCTATCTCTCAAGCTCCAGCACTTTGTCGATTTGGCAGGCCGGTAGCAGCAACGAAGAATGTTGCACTGCGGCTGGGAACCCTTGGATGACACAAACGCAGCTTCTATCCCGCCTTGTGTGTCCTCTTGCGCGACTTGCCCGTCAGCAAATTGCATCAGTCGTTACATTAGAGTGGATTGTGTCAGTTTCTCTTAGTGTCCCCCTTTTGTCCACGCCTAGTCCTGTGCCGCGCTGGCATGTGACGCCTCCAAAGGGTACAAATACTTCTTGGAGCGATATGCCAGGAGCTGAGTGACATGAACTGTGCAAGTCAGTCGACTTTCCTAATCTTCATGTATATATTTGGTTGCGTCTTGGGATTGAAACGACTGACAAGAGCTTGTCTTGCCATAGGCCTTCCTGAGTCGACACAACTCTTGTCACTTTCATATCCAATCCAAAGATGACAAACCATGAAGAGAAACATCCAGCCTAGCAAGTTGCTCTCATCATGCCACGAGCTGTGCAAGCTGCTCTCAAAGCACCAAGGGAAGGCCACTGTAGTGCACTATAAAGAGCTGATTAAATGATTCATGCTGAGCCATCACTTGGCCATCGCTGGTCTGGTTTTGGGTGAACCAGTGCACCTTTTGCATCCTTTTGCCCACTGAGGAACGGGCACAGCCAGCCAAGAATCCGACGGATTTCTGTTGTCAGAAGACCTGCCCCTTCTACCAGGACGGTATGGGCCGTTGACGTTCCAAGGTCCGAAGCCGTTCACGGACTCGGACTTGGTGGCCCTCGAGGCCCCTCGAGGTCTCGATGAATCGACGCCAGGAGCACTGTGGAGAAGGCCGAGGCTCGCTGCAAACGGTCAGGACGTAGGCTCTGCGTCAGAGGAGGCTCTCTTTCAGGCCGAACGCGCAGGTAACTTGCGCCAGTGACATGATCTATCATGATTTCAAGCTTGATGTTTGGTGTGTGATGTTTGTTGTATTTTGTTGCCTTTGACTGGAAGATCCAGACCACGGGGTGGCAGGAATGAACCTGGCTGATGAGTCCAAGATGTCCATGGCGGGATGCGACAGGGGAGGGGTGGTCACCCAGGTCACAAACCCGTCGCAAGCAATTGATTCTTTTTATATCATGGACCCCACAGACCACCTTGAGAGATCCGCCACATTCAGCTGTAACTCAGAATTCCACAACTTTCGTGAGATCCCTGATGCGAAGAGAGTAATTATCGAGTCTTTCGAGTCGCTCGCAAAGAATTTCTTAAGATGTGTTTATGCTAGCCGACAACACTTTGGGTTCCAGTCAGCGCGGCGTCATGGTGGCCCCTAACTCGGCCACAGACGGTCACCGAGCGGGACTTCCAGAACAAGTGCTGCGAGCCCAAGTGCTCCAGCAACTCGGCCTGTCGAGTTGTGCAAGACAGGAACAAAGAATATCAATTGGTCCCTGAGAGATTTTGTGATTGGACGCGGTTGCAAGGCTAGGTTATTGAGCCTAGATGATTTTGTTGGAGATGGGCGTTGTCCACAACACTGGATGTGGCTTTGTTGCATTTTCCATTCTGCCGCTCTCTGGCTCAGGTGTGAAGTGCCAGGCCGGATATATCTTGGATCCGACCTTCTTGAACTACTTGGTGTCCAAGGCCACTTATGCACCTTTGCTGGTCGACTTCGGCGGCTTTGACCAATGCTATAGGATGTTTTAGGTATACTGTAGTTTTATGGGTCAAGAAGAGACAGAGCAACATGGATTGCTGGAAGGGATGTATGTATGTATGTATGTATGTATGTATGCATGCATGCATGCATGCATGCATGCATGGATGGATGGATGGATGGATGGATGTATGTTTTGTTTTTTCTCCTAGAGTTGTGGCGTCGTTGGCCGTTGTGGCCGGTTCGTGACACATGTGGTGCCCTCTCAGTCTGCCTGTCGGCTCAAAAGAAGTCCACTTCGACCTCCGGATCGGCCTCGTTTTCTGTCTCTTCCTCCGGTTGCTCCATAGGGCTGGGTGTCATGGCCGGTGGAGCAGTGTTGTGTTCACTGTTCTCTGTTGAGAACCGTAGTTTCTTTGGTGCCGGTGGTGTCATCTCAGCCTGAAGTCCTGGGGAAAGAGGTGGTGTGGCTTGGCTGCCGGTGGTTGGAGGGCGGCTAGGCCTCTGGCTTTGTGTGCCAAAAAGCTGGAGCAGGGTCGGTGATCTCTGTGTGTTGCCTTGGCATGCTTTGGTCAGTGCCTTGGTCAGGATCACTCTTTCCTCGCCGTCCAAGTGGCTGTGAGTACCGCAGTTCACACAGCGGATGGCCTTGCCCTTTTGCCACAGGGAGTGGGAGGAGTGTCCTCCATGGTTTTGCTCGTACTTGGCATCAATGCATGTGCTGTGGATGAAGGTCTGGAAGCTTTCTTCGTTGGTCCTTTTGTGGATAGATAAGTTGCACTTCGTGCACTTAAGATATCCAGTGGTCTCTTGGAAAGTGTGTTCATCCTGAGCTTGTGGGTGTTGCTGTTGCACCTCGAGCAGCTTCTTGATGGCGGTGGTTCTGGTGACCTTTTGCCCGATTGGTTTATCAGGCCGCAGGTCAGGTTCTGGTGCCTCGTGGGTCAGGAGCTCACAGTCTTGGCTGAGGTGTGTCTCTATGACTTCAACTGTGAGAGCCTGATGGACCCGGGTGTGGCATGTTTGGCACTGGTAGCCACTCCTGTGTGGGACCCATTGGTGCTTGTGGGGCTGCCATGGTGCCTTGCATTGGTTGATGAGGCGCTTCTTGTATTGTTTTGTGGCATGCCCAGCCCGCCTGACTGGTTTGTCGTGAATGAAGTGTTGGGGATCTTTGTAGATCTTCTCAAGTTGGGCGGCTGCTTGTTTGTAGATCTTGAGGTGATCCTGGTCCAAGGTCTGTTGCCAGTCCTCTGCTTGTCTGTCGTAGAGGGTGGATGCTCTTTCATAGGCGGCCAGCGCCGCATCGCGTTGTCGCCTGCGGAGGTGGGGTTCGTTGGCTGGGGTGTCAGGTGTCCTGTGGTTCTTGTGGATGTACAAGGGCGTGATCCTCTGGAAGAATTGTGCACCCAACCCGTGTGCCAAGTCCTCGAAGCCTTTCCGCTTCCGTGGATTGGTCCATGCTTCCCACACCACACCAAGCTGCACGACCACATTGGTGGGAGTGAGGACGAACTGGGCCAGGGTGATCAGCCCTTGGAACAAGGCGCGGGCTTTGGTCTGGGGACCTGGTGCCATGCCCGCTTTCCTCAGGAGAGTTTCAAGGGAGAAAGTGTGGACGCAGAGTCCAAACACCCAGGCCTGGGACCGCAGGTCGTAAGAGGACGGGGTGGCGTCGAGGGTCACCGCCATGCCTTGCCAGGGCTGGAGGGTGAGGGGCTCGAGGGTGCTCCAACATCCATGCCCTTGCAGGGGTTGAGGAAACTGTAGATGATCTTGTGGTTCCTTAGGAATCCAGCCGTGACCCCACAAGGGTTCCTCAAGTGGATCCTGAAGTCGTTCAGTCCACTCAATGGCCAAGGGTTCATGACCTTTATTGTGGTGCCAGGAGCAGAGCCACACAATGTGCTTTGGGGTGGCTGGTACCTTGCAAAGTGGGCAAGGTTTGATTTTATCTCCTTCGCGGTAATGGATGGCCGCTTGGTTCCAGGTCTTCATGTGCTGGAGCTGTTGTTTGGAGAGAACTTTTGCGGCCTTTTTCGCCGTCACCCAGTCGAGTCCACTCACCAGGCTTTGGCAGTTCTTCCTGCTGGCAAGTCGGCTGGTTCGTGGCTGCTGGGCTTCCCGATGAAGGGTTTGTTCAATGGTGGGCCAATCGTCTTGGAGATTGATATGGGCCTCAGTCATAAACGCAGTTTCCTGTCGGTGCCATTGGTAGAGTGTCTCGGTGGTCCATCCCCATTCATGGAGATAGGCCAGAGTGGCTGCCATTGGGCCCTTGACATGGTACCATTGGCGTGGTTTGGTCCGGAGTTGGTTCCGAATGGTGAGCCATGCCTGCTCCACGTGTTGGATGTGATCTGCTGGCCAGTTGTTGAGGAGGGTGTGCAGTGCCCGGATGTGGTGGATGATCACCTGGTCACCTGGATCGCCAAATTTGTGGCTGACCTGATCGTAGATGATGTCTTGCAGCCCTCCCTGGTGCAGCCCAAGGTGTGTGGCCAGACTTTGGCGCAGTGCCAAGCGGTACCTGGGTGCTAAGCCCTGGCCTTCAAAGCCCCAGAAGGCAACTGGTTGGACCCCTCCCTTGTGTAGCCGCAGCCGTGTTCGTAAGTTGGACAGCTTCAGGCTTCTGAGTCGGATTTTCCTTTGCTTGTTTTTCCGGAAGCGCTGTTGAAGGGTTGTGATGCGCCTTCTACGGCTGGCTGCATGGTCAATTCCTAAGTCTCTCATCACGGATTGGATGGGTGGGTCTTGTGGTCCAAGAAGTTTGCTGAGCTCACTGTGGATCCGTTTGTCAGTGACGATGAAAGCTGTCTTGTGGCTGTTGACCACTAACCCGGCTTGGGTCAGTTGGTCCCGGAGTTGATGCCATGCTTGGAGAGCTCTTTGTGCCAGGTGTTGGGCATTGGTATGGCTGCCGTCAAACCCAATGTCATCGACCCATCCGTTGAGGCGCAGGTCAGGAAAGGCTTGCTGGAAGGAGTGCAGTATGGGTTGGAGGTATGTCTTGGCAAGCAAGGGCGCTTGTGGGCATCCGGCTGCAACTCCAGTGGTGACATGGAACCATGGGCTAAGTTCTCCTTCGGCCAAGATGGCTTTGTGCCCTGTGTAGACCTGCGTGGCGAACTCTAAGGCCAAGGGTGGGTAGTTGAGCTCTTGTGCCGTTTGTTGCAGTTTTTGAAGGTCCAGGGTGTCGTAGAACGTGCTCATGTCCAGTAGCACAGTGACTCCGTGCCGCTCAAGGGATTTGGTGGTCTCCTGTCGCAGGAGACGTTCGAGGGCCACATGGAGTGCAGTGGCTCCTGGTCTGGCTCTGTCATAGTCGAGTGATGGGCCGTTCCACTTTCTCGTTTTTTGCCAGCATCACCACCAAGCTCATGGTGAGTTGGGTTGGGAGCTCTGCTTTGGCCTCCATGGTTTGTAGAATGCCCAAGAGTGGTTGGATGGCCTGTTTCGGTGCAGTCCTGAGCAACTGGGTAGTGATGGCGTCAGGTCCACAGGCTTTGTCCGGGAGGTGCTTTAAGGTCTTCCCCAACTGTTCAAAGGTGAGTGCCGGGAGCTCTGAGGCTTGTCGTTTGGCTTGGTCCTGAAGTGGTAGGCGGGTCATGGGCTGGTTGTCGCTGGTTGGCTTCCAGAGTTGGTGCCAGTCGTTCATTCTGTGCCGCATGCGATCGGCCATCGGGATGGTTCTGTAAGGTCTCTGCCACGACATTTCACTCGCCTTCAGGGATCTAAAGAGCCCCTTGAGCCCTTTGGCCTCCCCTTGTTTGATCCATTCAGCATATTGGAGGCTGGTCTCATCTCTGCTTTGTTGTTGTGCTGCCTCAAGTTGGTGTTGCACCGTCTCTTGCAGGAGTTCAAAGGTGCGTTCGTCCCGATACTGCACCCAATGGTTATGGGTGTCGAGAAACTGTCCCCAGGTCTGATCCCCCAACCAGTGGTGCTGGACTCGCTGGAGGGCTTTGTTGAGGCCAAGGATGGCGCCTGGTGCTTTGGCCGGCTGGTTTTGGATCAAATTGAGCCTTGCCTGGATCTGCTCCCAGAAAGCTGCCTTGCCTTTTTTCCAAATGCCGCCGGCTTTGGCTGCTACCAGGGGAAGGTGCTGGGTGATCAGGTTGGAGGCACGTCCCTGTGGTGCCCATGGGTGCTGCTGCAGTAGGTATTGTTCTGTGATTGATGCCCAATCTGCAAGACTTTGTGCTCCGGTGTTTGGGCTGCTTTCGTACAGCTGAAGCTGCTCTACCTGAGACACGTACGTGCTCCAGGCGCGGAACCCGATGTCGGGCACATTGGGTAGTGGAGGGAAACTCCGGAGTTGGTGGTACAGCCGGAAGTCATCTCCGAGTTGCAGGGCGTATGTGAGGAGGCAGTGTGGCCGCCAAGGTACAGCCCATTCTGTGGTCATGGAGGTGCAAGCTGCCAATGTTTGTTGGATAATGGCATAGTCCACCGTATTGCCATTGAGCAAGGTAGCGTCTGGTGCCAGGATTTGCCAGTGGAATTTGGAACTGAGGACTGTCCCTTGGAATTGCTCCGGGTGGTTGTTCCAGTCTCCTACCAGGATGAACTGCCGTGTTGATGCATCCAGGAGTGCCAGGATGCGGGCCAGGTTTTGGGCATTTGTCGCGCCTTGGATCGACTCATTGGTTTTGAGGTAGACGGCAACGACCAGGATGGATCGAGCTTTGGCTTCCCAAAGGAATGCTTGGTATCCGCATCCTTCAACCTCAAAGGCTTCCAGTTGGGTCAGTCCATGGGCCGTGTCGTGAATGACCAGGATGCCCCCATCCATGTGTGCCATCATTGGTGGTGTTGCTGTGTGCTGGATACCCGAATGCATGTCTGCCTCCGACCTCGAAATACTGGCGCATCGATTGATGCTTCTGCCGATCCAGGTGGGTCTCCACCATGATGTAGATTTCATTGTCTCTGGACCAGTACCAGTCAAGAGTGCTTTTCCCAAAAGCAGTGATGTTTGCAACAT